CCCCCCCCACAGACTTACCAGCCAGACACTGCTCTTCAAGGTGCCAGGCTGCACTCCTGGCCACATGCATGCTGAAGCCATGTGCGCACACGTGGCATTTTTCAGCAACATTATCGGCCACATTAACCAAAAAAAGCCAATTGCTGATAATGTCAATTTTCCTTTTATCAGTGCTGATACAATATGGACCAATGTACTGGTGCACCTCTAAAAAAATTAGCACTTCTTAAATGTTTTATACAATCTGTACTACAAGATGTTATATATGATACTCACTGGTTTGTTTAGATGATGTCCTACAGAATCTGCCAAAGTTCCAATGGCATCATAAAGAATAAGAAGATTCTTATGCTGGTATTTACTAAATGCGAAGACCAGAGTGTCAAGTATATAAGCAAGGTAAGGAACAAGTTCTGTACAAGCCTCCTCTTCTAGAGTAGCAAAGGCACTAGGAATGAAACAAGGTAGTGAGTATAAAGGAAAAAAATAATACCATTTCCACTTAAATGCTATTTGCCCCTCAAATTCTTGAAGTGTTTTTAGGGCAGCACTGATAGTTTGACAGCTGAGTCTACTTCAATTCAAAATAAGTGAATCCAATTCTAGGGTTTTGATGAACATAATTCAGAAATATTTTTGAAGGCTATATGTACAGAAAAACCAAAGAACCATTATAAAAAAATCTGAGTTAATTAAAGAAAACAGGAACTTTATGTCAAAAGATGTACAGTTCATATTAACAATTGCTTCTTACATACCACTGTAATGAAAAACTGTCCATAAAAGGTCCCAGCACCATTGTACTAGGCACTGTATAAAACATACATGACAGTCCCTGCCCTAAAGAGCTTACTATCAAAATTTAAGACAGGAGACAGATGGATAAAAACAAAGATATGGAGAAAAGAAGCAGCAAAAGTCAGTCAGTGGAAGTAAGGGCCTTTTCACGTTCCAGTCTTAATCAAAATATGAGCTGTTTACATAAAACTGCACACAATGGGGCTTCAATTCCCAAAATGGGGTCCTGAAGCATGAACATGCCATTCCATGGGCACATTTAGGGAAAGAGAAAAACTGTGATCAGAGAGCATTAGTCTGGTTTCTATGAAGTAAATAAAAATATCAGTCTGTCCCAGAAAAGTTGACTCCCAAACAAGAAAGTGACCATGCCCCTCTTATTTTCTACTACCAGTTGCAAAAGTGCCATTTTTCACAAAAGCAAGAGAACTGTGGACACTGTATGTGGCTTGTAACAATGTTACCTGGTACCCAGATTTTCCACCTGAGGCAAAAAAAAGCCAGCAGGAGATAAGTGTACTGGTACAATTGCTCCTCAAGTTGGGGATACTCAAGAAAGATTCTCACTGGCAAAAACAGAAGTTTTAGGTCTGGGGTTATGCAGAAGTTACACAGAGGTGAGAACAGACAGTATTATGACAATTGTAGCTGCTCCAGACCTTGGAAAACCCAACTACTGACTGAAGTACAATATATTTTTTGCAGACCTTCACTACACTTTTATGCAATTTGTAAGGACAGCAAATAAGATGTCTTGATTCACCATAGTTTCATGTTCTCTCAAAAATGTAACCTTATTTTTTTTTCAAAGGATATTTGATTTCTAAAAGGCTGCAGGAACTACAAAATTCTCATACACTTTGTAGACAACACTTCAAAAAAAATTACCAGTTGTTGTGGCACAGGATCCACATAAACATCAAACATAGCATTTTTTATTCTAGATCAGCAGTTCCCAAACTTTATCCAGTTCTAATTAAAAGTATTAGGGATAACTTTGTGCAATTCCATATGCAGTTATCACTGGTTACATGCCATAATTAACAGATGTTGGGGTTTACTCGGCCTCAGCTGTTCTACAAAAACTGATCCTGCAGACCTAAATTGTCCTGATTTTGCTCTCACTGACAGTGGGTCAAAAGAGACTTGTGATCGCTTACTAACGGAGTACCTGAGCCATAGCAAGTCCCCACCCCCTGCTAACTGCAGGAAGCACAAGTTGTTTATACCTGCAGTTATCCTAGTAACTGAAAGCTGCAAGAATGCAAATTTGGCTATTTTGCTGAGGGTAATAACCAAAAGGCACAGATATAGTTACTACAAAGTTAGCTAATATGTGTTAGATCTCTACCCCCTACAAATTAACAGCACAGGATTTGTACTTTCAGCAGCAGGCAGAGACTTCCCAGAACACTGGTAACTGTTTGTGTGCCTGCAATTAACAGGCAGTTCCAACTTTACCATGAAACAGCCAAGGTGTGGTTAAGTCTATACCTGCTCCTACTGCTTCATAAAAGAAAGTCATGCCAAGGTAGCTTACCCCTGAACAAAACAGGCCTGATTTGTCTTAGTTTAGCTTTCACTCATGGTGGGGCAAGGCAGGAACAGGGACAATTGCCACAAAGCAGTTGAGACTCAGTAAGTCTCCACTCCCTGTAAATTAAGGCCCCAAGGCTTCTAACTTTAATAGGGAAGGATGACTTATTAGAGCAGCCTTAATTGTCCCTGCATCCACAGTTACACCTCAATTATAGCTAAAGCCAAAGAATGAAGCTGAGCCAAACTGAACTAGTTCAGCTTTTACATCATGGGTAATTGCAAGCAGAGGAATAGCTTGTGTGCCTACAATAAACAGGGAACTGATACTTATCACACCTCAGGTATTCTGCAGTAACTGGTTGTGCAGTCTACTCCAATTTACAGTAAGCTGAGGCAAGTTAGCCTAGCTCCATTCAGGGGAAGTTACCCAAATGTACTTTTTCCTCTGATGTAATTACAAGCACAGAGATGGTTGCCACAGAGCAGGTGAGGTTCAATAAGGCTTCACTCCCCTTTTAACTGCAGATATAAAGGGTAATTGTGTGTTTAAGGGAACAAGATAATTCCTTGTGACCCAGCTCCTAACTGCTGGGACCTGCTCTTCAAAGCTATCACTGGAACACTGTCAATTTGTTCTTTCCCTCCCATCACATCTACCGGTAGCCAGGGTCCTCAACAACTGCAGCCTGTACCACAGCTTAATTAAATGTACATTTTGTCATGGCCTATCTGGTCTAATTTGATTGCTCCTCTGGATGAAACAATAGATTTGAAAACTTGTATCAGCATTCCTACATCAGCAAGTTCTTGCTTATTTTGAAAGGGTTGTACAGCTATCACTAAAGGGAAAAATGGATTTTTGACTTAACAGGAAAGTAGATTAGCTGGACACAATTAATAGTGAACAGTTTTGGAGGAGGTTTTTAAACATAAAAGAAAAATGTTTAAGTTCACTTTGCTAATAAGCTGCATATCTATTTTATTTATTCAGGTAGCAAGCCCTTTAGTCAAGGACATGTCTGTTTCAGATGTTCATAGTCTAGCAGAATGGGACTCTACCCCTGACTGTCTTCCATGCATTATTCAAACAGAGTACCTTAAAAAAATTAATTCATTAATCCAAGAAAGCCACACACAGTTATTATTTTATGAACAGAAGCTCTAGCAGTTTTCTGCACACATTTCCTGCATAAGCTTACAATGAGCTATTTATCAATGCTATTAGGTAACAAAAAAAGAAAAAGGTTATGTTGTATATTCATTATTTAAAAGGTAATAAGTTAAACATTTTTTCACAAGGCCTGCAAGAGTTATGGCCCACAGGTTTTGGGAAATTCCAAGGTATATAATGTATTTGTATAATTCAGTTACAGAATCAGCTGTCCACTTCTACTGGCATATACATGAATGCCAAGACTGACATCCAGTGAAAAGATTAACTTTCCATTTTAAGATATCATAATTATCATTAAATACTGAAAATACCACAGAGACAAGATACCTTGTAGTGCAATAAATGTCTTTAATTCACTAAAGAAATTCCATTTAAGAAATGAAACTAGAAAATACAGGAAAAAACAAATTGTAAAAATCACCAAGGGGGGCTCATGAATACCCCAAAGTAAGAAAGTTTTAATACATGAATGTCACAACAGTTTTTTGGTCTTAGAACAGCTAGTACTATGGACAATACCTTTTTGTTTGGGGTTTGACTTACCTGCAGGCAGCTTCTTGTACTCTCTTGTTGCTATCCAGGATACGCTTTAGCAACTCAGTCATTAATGGCTTCAAGTATGTGTCTGGGGGTTGACTAACTACCCAGTGTGCATAGCGGCTAAGAGTCCAGCATGTAATGGAGCGCACAAGAGCCTTTTTATCAGAGAGGCACTGAATAAGGTGAGGGATTAGTTCAGGAAGATATGGAATCATACCCTGCATGCAGCCTATAAAGACAAAATATTGAAATAGAGCCATGCTATTAGTAAGGCTTGCACAGTAACTTGTTTCACATTTCAGAACAGCTGCTTAGCCTAACCAATATAAAAAAAAAAGATTAAAAAAATATATTTTTCACTCATTTTGCTTCTGAAAATTCTTACCTTTTGTATATCAAGCTGTTGTTTTTTTCCTTAACAAAATAGTCTGAAAGTCTCAACGTGGCTACCTTTGCTTGCAAAAGAAAACAGACTTGATGGAGAAGGGAATCTAAGAATAGACTGTGGCTCCCCAACAGTTTCTCATACCACAGACTTCTTAAGTGAGGGGGGACAAAGAATACATGTTGAGAGGAGACACTTCAAAATGTTATCTTCCTTACTTTCCTTTTCTTGTCATAGTTTTTGTTCAATTATGATTACTGAAGATTACTGATTTTTTTCTGAACTCTAAAATCAGAGCATAATTCATAGACTATACCAGGGATTGGAAACGTTTTTGGGCAAAGTGCCCAAAACACCCACAACCTCAACTTGAAAGATGTTGGTGTGCCAGGGACAGACAGCAGGGCAACTGAGAGGGGCCGAATCCTAACTGGCAGCATAGCCCTGGCCCCTTCCCCACTATCCTGTGCCAAGCAAAATGCCTGTGTGCGCCACGCTCTGGCACCTGTGCTGGGGGGTCCCTCCCCCAAGACTATACATTTGACTTCATATTAAGGTCTGCACAGACTTCCACATAACCTAGTGCTAGTTGCATCAGATTTGTATACTTATCCACGTTACTCCAGGATAAGGACAGATGCACAAGTATTCAGGGGAAGCAGATGCTATTATAGCATTTAACCACAAGATGGTATTAGAATAATAATAATAATAATAATAATAATAATAATAATAATAATAATAATAATAATAATAATATCACTAGCATTTAGAAAGTGACAAACTCCAGACAGAAGCAGATAAAGAAAGAAACCTAAAATTGTGCAACTTATATGGGTGGAATTTTACCCATTATTCTTTAAGGGAAATTCTCTTTCAGACTGTGTTAAATTACACCAGTTTAGGGGGTCTACATAAACTGCTCACTACTTTAAAAAAAACAAAAATAACTGAACAAGTGTGTCATCTATCCACACATTTAGATTGATCCTAATTTCCAGGACTGAGTACATTAAACCCTAGAGACCAGCGCCAAGAGTTAGTCTGGAGCAAGGGAAGGTAAAAAATGTCCATTTAGACATCTCATAAAACACTGGTGTTGGAAATATGATGCATCAACACACTTTGAAATTAAACTCTGAAAGAGGACTAGAGTTCTCTATTAAAAACAATGGAAATGAATGTGGATGGGGAATAAAAGAAAGCTCACAATTTAACTGGTTAATTTTTAAGATTAAACAGACAGTTATAGATTTGCCATCTCCTAATTTCTTAGTTTTTGACTGCACCTTCAATGATATTTTTGACAGTGTTTAACATTATTGAACTAGATGCACCAGAGAAGCAGGTCCCTTATAAAAGAATTTTACTGTAACTTGAATGTTAAGTTGTTTTACCTTCAGCAATTGCTCCTAGAACCAGGATACCGGATTCTTTGACCACCCATTCTGGATGGAAGAGCAATTCTTTCAGAAGGGGCAAAATATGTGGCAGAAGTTCATCACGGAATACATTGGCAAGGACATCGAGTGCAGCAGCAGAACACTTCCCTGAGGAAAAGTAATATACCAATTTGAACATATTCTATTTTACAACCAGTTACTAGGATCACATTATAAATTTTCCTTTTCCAGCTACTTCACCCTCTTACTGAAGTATCAATACATTGAGGGAACAGTGCAGCAATATTTCCATTTCACTGTAGTGCATAAATATCTATTTTACCCTAGGGCCACAATTAGGGGCAAGCAGTGACACTGTACTTTGGTCAGGTCTCCCTTCAAAAAGAAATAAGGGCTGGCGTAGCAGAGACTTTAGACATTTGTGGTAAAGGTATGCAGAAAAAAAAAGGCATTTCATCTTGCAAAATAATTATCATTAAGTAATCAAAATGAAACAATGCTAACAGAGTGGGAAGCACAGAACTGTTCACAGGAAAAATTAAGTAGTGAAACACTCCACTTGAGCCCTCTTATGAAACAGCTTTATGCTTTTATGAAATAGAAAATTCTGGTAGAAATTGTTCCTCTTTGGACAGAGAGAAAAAGAAAAGCACTTCAAACCACAACAAGCCTATAAGCACTGGCATGTTCCTGAAACCTGTTCAGATATGAAATCAAATCACTGACAATCCTTTTCAAAGCATTCGCTTTCAAATACATTACATGTAACATTGCATAATTTTGAACTGCTTACCAAGTAATTAACAAAGGAAGATATTAATAATTATACTTTCAGTTTTGGAATACACAATGACTTAATGAATAACAGTTGCTGTGTATACAACAAGGTGAATTATTCCACTTAGAGAAGCCAGCAAAAGGAATAATCCTGGTAAACTGTTTAAATAGTAGTGTGTTAAAGTTCAATCTTAACTCAAATGCTCACTACCAGTATCTGCACCAGATTTCTACAAGATCCGAGAAACCCCCTTCCTTCTCCCCTAGGCACCACATTTCTATAAAGTTTAAACAACATATAAACCTTGCAAGAACAAAGTCAGTCATGAATGCTGGGATGCTTGTGAAGCAGGCTAAACTGAGACACTGAGCAAGATCAAGTTCTTAAAAAAGTAAACAGCCTTGAAGTGCTAGAGAAGCAATGTCAAAAGTCCTGCACAACTTGACTAAGTTCCTGCTGCAAACCTGTAAGCTGTAGTATTTTCCATTCTAATGCACATGTTTGTCTGTAGGCCTTCTAGATTCAAGAAGAATCTGCTACTAGGGCATACAGTTCCCACTACAATAGATTTGCATGAACAGAGATCCTTTCCTATTCCAAAACGTAAAGGCATTTGGTTGTCCTATTCCAAGATAGTTCCACTTATTAAACATACTCTTACAGTGTAAGTCAGTAAGAATTACTCTGATAAAGATAACCGCTTTTCCCTGTCAGGTGAGTAACCCAATACAAAGACCCATGTAAACAACGGCAATCCTTTTAGGACTGTGTTTCAATGGTCCAGGGGATAATCCCATATCCTTTTCAAGACTGAGGCAATAAATTGCACCTCTGAACCAACTGTCTGAATGGTTGATGCAACAGAGGAAAGTTTAAATGAGCTAAGTACCAAGTATGAAGCACCTGTATCTTTTAAAGCCACTACAAAATGACTGAGGAAAGTAACTTGCCAAAAAATGTTTAACAAGGCTTATTTTATACAGGCCTGTAGGTGGGGGTTGCAATCTTAAAAAATTTTTCCACACAAAATGCTTGGCTCATGAAACTCATTTCCCCTGGGGCTCTGTGCACAGATAATAATGTTTTAAAAAACAATAAGACAATTTCTTTTTAAAGACTTCATGAGGAGTAGAAGAATTTACACACTTCCAGCATCTTACACAACTGCTACAACTCCCAAGATTGCTACTGCACAAGAAATTTCAAATTCTAATATTATAAAAGCCTAAGTATGTCTGACTTTGTGCCCTGATTGGCTGCTCCAGCAGCCAATCAGAGTGCCCTGTGCAAACAGGGGAGCATTGCCATGACAGTGGGGCCTGAGGGAAGGGGAGGGGAATGGCTCTGGCCCTAGCCCAAAGTGACGGGAGAAGGTGAAGAAGGGTGCAAGCCCCAGTCCCATCCCAAAATGGCAGGGGGAATGGTGGGGAACGGCCCTAGCCCCAACCTGAAGTGTGTGTGGGGGGTGGGGAAAGGGGCTGGGAGCAGCCCAGGCTCTAGCCCCAGCCCAAAGAAGCAGGGGGGAGATGGGGAGTGACCCTTGCCCCAAACAGACCGGGGGGGGAGGGCAGCAGGGAACTGCCCCGGCCCAAGGCAGGGTGGGGAAGGGACACAGGCCTCTGTCCCTCGTCCCTCCCCCCCGGTCCATCATTCTTGATAAGCAATTGGCTAGTTCCTGCATAAGACTCCAACTCCAATGAACGTCTTTGCACCAAACCCGTGGTTGTGACAACAATAGTCCTTTAATGGATTCCAAGGTTCCTTCACTGTCTGAAAGCTTTCCCATTTTAACCATTAAATGATTATACACTATGGAGAACACTCATTATTCAATCCTTACCTTCACAAGAGTGCACCTTATATATAATTCATTTGGATGTGGGCAGTGGCACTTGCATGCTCTCGCAAAAAACAAAAACAAACCCACTTTCAAATCTAAAGATGACCAAAAAAATTTGCAAGTGAAACCTTAGTCCATATGGGGTTATATTATTAAAAAAATAACGGAGTTCCATTTTAAAACAGACTTTCTTGCATATAACACCCCGCCAAATATAGCATGCACCCCAAATATAACATGCACCCCATTTTTGGAAGGCCCCAAGAAGGAAAAAGATTTTACCTTAGAGTGTGGGTAAAAATTTGAGGAGCAGGGATGGAAGGAGGGAAAGCAGCAGCAACATTAATTGGTATGGCTCCCAGAGCTATGACAATTAACGTTACCACTGCTCAACCTGTTATCCCAGCACCAAATTTCCAGAACCTTGGGAAGCCCTTTACCTCACATACAGGTACCCCAAGTTCCTGGGTGGTTTGGGGGGGAAGGTGTCATAATTCTTAGGGTTGGAAGGGACCTAAACAAACCATCAGGTCCGATCCCCTGCCCCCGGCAGGAAGGCGTGCCGGGGTCGTATCACCCCAGCCAATTATCTGTCCAGCCTCCTCTTGAAGACCAAGGTAGGAGAGTACCACCTCCCTTGGGAGCCCATTCCAGAGCCTGGCAGCCCTAACTGGAAAGTAATGTCCCCTCATGTCCAGCCTGAACCTTCTCTCTAACTATTTGTGGCCATTATTCCTAGTAAGTCCGGGTGGTGCCTGGGGGAACAGAGCTTCCCCCAATTCCAGCTGGTCCCCCCGGTGAGTTTGTAAATGGCCACCAGATCCCCTTTCAGCCTTCTCTTGTGGAGGCTGAATAGATTCAGGCCCTTTAGCCTCTCCTCATAGGGCCTGCCCCGCTGCCCCTTGACCACGCAAGTGGCCCTCCTTTGGACCACATCCCGCCTGAAGTGCAGTGCCCAGAACTGGATGCAGTAATCCAACTGTGGCCTGACCAATGCCGCATATAGGGAAAGGATCACCTCCCTGGACCTACTTGTGATGCATCTGTAGATGCACGACAAGGTGAGGTTAGCCTCACTGATCGTTTTCTCACATTGACAGCTCATGTTCATCCTGGAGTCACCAATGACTCCAAGATCCCTTTCTGCCACTGTGTTGACAAGGGTGTTTCCTAGTCTACAGGTATGTTGCTGATTCCTTCTCCCTAGATGCATTACCTTGCACTTGTCCATGCTGAATTCCACCCTATTCTCATACACCCACCTCTGTAATTTGTCTAGATCTAAGGTGTTGGTTATATGTAAGAAAATTCAGTAATTTATACAAAAATCAGTTTCAGTTTGGACCACTAAGATGGGGTAATGAGCAAACCCAAGACCTACCTTTTGGATATTTCAACAAAGCAACTTCCGAACTATTTGTAAACTAGTGTTTAATTTTTTGACTCGCAAGCTCTAATTTAAGAGCTTGCAAGCTCTGATGATAGAAGTAGTAATATTACAACTGGTTTATATCACATGGTTTACCTAGGAATTTCTGTTTCTAACTCTAAACTAAGCAAAATCCAGCCTTTCTTAGTTAATTCAAATGAAGCAAGATTAGACCAAGAGGAACCATTATTAGGCAACTACAAGTGTAAAAAGGAAATTTGGGAGTAATACAAGAAGTCCTCAAGTTTCCTTTTAAGCACACTATGTAGCTCAGCCATAATTTGTGGTATTAGAGACTTTCTAGAATTTTTACTTGTTTTTTCTTTAAGGAAAAACACAAACAGAGAAGTAAAGCCAAAATCTGTCATTAATCTGAGCTGAAAGAGAGGCAGGTCCTGTATACCATATCCAGCAAGCGAGTTTAGTTTATAGTAGAGGTGCACCAATACATTAGTCCCATATCATATCAGCACCAATAAACTGAAAATTGACATCATCAGCAATCGGCTTTTGGCTAATATGGCAAATAATGTCACCAATAAATGCTGCGTGAATGTGCACAGCCACAGCACAGTATGCAGGTGGTCAGAAGCGCAGCCCAGCAGCATGGAGAGCAGTGTCCAGCTGGCAAGTCCACTGTGGGGGAAGGAAGGGGCAGACAACACTCCCCTGATGAGGGGGGAAATGGAGCTGGAGCTGCACAGCCAGGCTGGGGCAGGGCATGGAACTGAGCCACGAGTGGTTCGTGTGAGGGGCACACTCCCCGGGAGGTGCAGAGGGAGGTGCGTGTGCCCCTGAATCTGTGTGCAGGAGGAGAGTGGGTTGCTGCTGTGGGCTGGAGCAAGGGGCAGGGGCAGCCCCAGGCTCTTCCCAGGATGGGGGCTGGGCCAAGCTGCACTCAGGGTGGGTGACAACAACACTGGGAGGGGGGTTGCAGAGGGGCTGCAGTCACCCCAAAATTTGTCATAGGCCCCCTCCCTCCCCCCCCAACCCCTCCTCCCAGTGTTGCCTGGCCCAACCCTCCTTCTTGGAAGAACCTGGCACCGTCCCCAGCCCCAGCCTGCCTCTGCCCACCATGGCCCCGTGCACAGATCTCGGGGGGGGGGCACACCCCCCATGGCACCCAAAGGATATGTGCGCAACAGCAGAAGCTGCCCCCCGCCTAAACGAGTTGCAGCTCCATCCTGCGTCTCACCCTGCCCATGCAGTGCCTGCTCCCACCCCAGTCCCACTCTCTCCCACGCTGCAGGGGCCTCTACTGCACACCCCTTCCCTCCCCACTCCGCTCACAACAGACTTACCAGCCAGACACTCCTCTCCATGCTGCCAGGCCACATACAGGCAGTCAGATCAGTATCAGCTGATATGGTTCGTTAAAAATCAGTCATTAGTAACAGCCCAAAAAATCTCTAATCCATGCACCCCTAGTTTATAGTTAATTAGCTTGTAATTACAAATTTTAGCTCTACCACAGAATTTTTTTAAGCACCAGAAAGACTACCATACAATTAATGGATTCTTTAATGGCAGCATGGACAGCAGTGCCCAGCTGACAAGTCCACTGTGGGGAAAAGGAAGGCGTGTGAGGAGGGGCAGGCCAAGGTTCCCCTGGTGACTTGGGGGAATGGGGCTGGAGCCGCCCAGCCAGGCCGGGGCAGGGCACAGAAATGAGCCGCGAGTGGTTCATCTGAGGGGCGCACCATACAATAAATGGATTCAGGAACATGAACAGAGCTATTTGAAATATAATTTCTCAGCATTCCTTATCGCTCCACTCAAACACTGAGCCCAAAGGAGAGGGATTTCATAGTTTCTAGGGTCAGAGGGGACCTGAGCAGATCATCTAGTTTGACCCCCTGCCATGGCAGGAAAGAGTATTGGAGTCAAACGACCCCAGCAAGGTGTTCAGCTAACCTCCTCTTAAAAACCCCCAGGGTAGGAGCCTGCACCACTTCTCTTGGAAGTTGGTTCCAGACCCTAGCTGCCCTGACCATGAAATAGCTTCTCCTGATGTCTAACCTAAACCTACCCTCTGCCAGCTTGTGACCATTATTCCTGGTCACTCCTGGCGGTGCTCGGGGGAACAGTGACTCCCCCAATGCCTGCTGATCCCCACTGACTAGTTTATAACAGGCCACAAGATCCCCCCTCAGCCTTCTCTTGTGGAGGCTGAACAGGTTCAGGTCCCGTAGCCTCTCCTCATAGGGCCTGCCCTGCTGTCCCCTGATCATGCGAGTGGCCCTCCTCTGGACCCTCTCCATGTTGTCCACATCCCTCTTGAAGTGCAGCACCCAGAACTGGACACAGTACTCCAACTGCGGCCTGACCAGTGCCGCATAGAGGGGGAGGATCACTTCTTTTGACCTGCTTGAAATGCATCTGTGGATGCATGACAAGGTACGGTTGGCTTTC